ATACATATTACTGATAAAAGTTGTATATTATTATTTAATTTTTTTATATTGTGACATATTAACACAAAAAAAAATATTGATATACAGATATTCTTGTATATTAAATAATTGTATTAAAAATGTATTATATAAACTTTTATTTTGATCGAAAAGGAAATTGGCCAAAAAGGTAGGGTACGTTTTTGAGCCTCTCTATACTATATTGTACAATTAAAATATATAGCTGCTGATAAATAATAGTAAACTAWATCATGATTTTATTTATGGTTTTCAACACTAAAATAAGGTATATATTAGATTTAGATATGGTATATGAATAGTAAATTTTATATTTTTATCAACGTATTTTTCACAAAAAACTAATCAATTATACAGAGTGATTATTTAAGTGCTATTTAAAACATTCCAAGTCTTATAAACCTTTTCCTCCAAGACTTTTTTCCCGAGACTTTTTTTCTTGGAGATTTTTATTTGGGACTTTTTTAGCTAAGGTACATTTATTGATAAATATTTGTAGTAATTTTTAGTAAATTTTAAAAATTACTCAAAACATTATAAAAGTATTTAGTGAAGACTCYGAATCTACGTCTGTCTACTGTCCATCCGACAAGCAGTTGTTTCACCAGCTCTCTCATTTCCTATGACTCATAATATAGTCATATACATATAATTTGTCTACACGTACATCACTCTGCATATATTTATTATTGAGCTATCGCGATTCTAGCATGAGCRGTTGTAATTATTATTCAAACGCGTGTTAATATTATATTGAAATAGCTAGAACGATGGTGTATTATTATCATACCGATATGCATATTATAATATATGTAATATGTATAATAATAAAATATGTATATGTAATATATATTATGTATACTGTGTAAAATGGATTATGACAGATGGCCACACACTGTACGACATTTGTACTAGCTCACTAAAATTATATATATTACTTAACAGTGGAAAACTATTAAATAGAAAATGAGATCTTAAATTAATTTATTTGAAAAATGATTGTAAGCTTGTCATTGACATAATAATAATTAAGTTATTAGCAATTACTGATTTGTTATAGTAAAATATGAAGCCAATATCCGTCGTTTTGTGGGAGCACTGTCACACGGATATTAAATATATTATGTAATATCACAGAAAAATACGATATTAGGCTGTCATATCTCATTGAAAAAGATATGGTACCATTTATGTTCATGCATATATATTGTTGGTTTTCAAATAATTAGTTGAAAAATGTTTGAAATAGTGATCCAGTGATAGTTTATTTTAAATGAAGAAAAAATTATAAAAGTGTACAAGTCGTATCGACGTGTGTGGCGTAAAAATTCTCAGGTGTCATGGCTGTGATACTTTTTGCTAAAATGCTGTAATCTGAGTTCCTTTGATATGGATGGCACATGTATTTTTACAAGCATCCTTGTAGTCGTGCAAGGTTTTTGTTTTCATAGTAACGTAAAATGTCTTCCTAACTATAAATAATGGTTTTGCCGAATTAGAAAGATGCTAAATGTTTTCTAAACATGTACATTTAACTATTTTTATTGATCATAAATTTGTGACTTCTTCAATAATTTTTTTAATATTACATAGATCATATTTTATGTATTATTGTAAAAGGTCATAATCTACTAGTCATGTATTATTCTCATCTATTCAGGATGTTGAATAAATGGATTTAAATAATTTATAGCCCGCAACCTTAGATCATATACTATGGATAAAGCCACAGCGTAGCTAYAATATAAATACAAAAAAATATTGTCAATATTAGCGACGAGACTGGATATTAGGTATTTGATATGCACTTACGCGAATGCTCGATGCACTAMGTCATTATTTATTCACATGTTATAATATTGTCTCGACCTTGTTTACGGTCAAAACCTAACGAGTTGCATCGCGCATGCGCATATCGAATACCTAATATCAGCTTGCTAACTACTCGTTGCTAATATCAGCAACAAAAATAACACACTGTAGCTCCATCTATAGTATTATATGATTTAAGCCCGCAACATTTGTTGTTATTTTTTAATAACTATACAAGATGCAAAACATTATAACTAGGGCCCGGGTTTATATAAAAATGATAAATAATCATACAATTTAGATCATAAATGTCAATGTTTCATAATGTGTATATTCTATAATACATTTTTTTGTATATTTTTGCCTATTTGAATGGAAATGCATAATATTAATTGCATACTTCTTGATAGTTGTATACATTTTGMATATTCTACAATAATGATAATAATAACAACAATAATCATTATAGTTCCATCTTTGTTTATTTATTAAAATAATTGTTTTTACGTATGTACTARTACCTATACAGTTATCGTAAATAACCCATAATACATCGATATGTTATCGATGAATAACAAAAAAAAAATTGGATTTTCTAGAGGTAAATTCATAATTACACACGACTACATTAAATAGCAGTATATTTACACATATACTGTACAGTGTACATGTCATCAAAAAATGTTATTTTGCATTTTTTCTTAATAAACTTTTTATACATATATTTAGATTKTGTATAATATTTTTACTTGAAACTATATAGTTTATCAATTTGTAAAAAAATAAAAAATGATTTTGTATATTTCTATATAGGTACATTTTCATATTTTATAGATTTTATTGCATATAAATCCGGGCTCTAAATTTATAATAATGCATGTCATTATTATATACTGGTATATCTTTTAAGATTTCTTGTCCCAAGAAAATGATGAAAAATCGCGGATTTTTTTAAATTGGATTTAAGGCTTCAAATACCAAGGGCAATAGCCTGAATGRTACTGTGTGGGGGAATGGTGTTGGTTGGAACACGTTTTGTAAATCACAGCTTTGTTTATATTTTAACTCAACAGTCGTTATCTATATAGTGACTGTTATGTATTATAAATATAAATAATAACATTAACGTATTATATAGACATTTATTGTTAACAGTATAAATCGTAATGACGTACAATATATTTCTACTCGCTAATAACCGATGGACAGTCCCCACCAATCGTAATATGATACATATGATTATTGTTAGTATAAACAGTATAGGTGTAATATCATATATTAAAATGCTGAATATGCAACAGTGACGAAAAATGGAAATACCTACATGTATTTATTAAGTACATGTTAACATGTACTCGTATACGTGATAACAGTCATACTTCGTTGAAATTATTTTTTWCAATTAATATAACATTTACATATTATATTGCCCATTAAACCACCGACAGTCATTGCATTCATAGCCAGTAATCAGTATTGTTACTGCAGTTGACCAGTGCAGTTAAGTTTTACTTGTGGTTTATTTTTATTCCGTTCTTCATATTATTATAAGTTGCAGTTAAATTAATTGTATATTTTTTTTTACAATGAAACGCTGTTTAGAAAATGATGACACCATTAACGAACGAAATAGAGGTGCTTCGTCTTCTAGAAGTAGACCAACACATATTAATGACTATCGTAAGTTTTCTGAAGAATGCAATGTTTTTGGTTTTACAAGTAAAAATCCTCCTCATAACGTTTTACTAAATTATGCTAAAAAATATTTTAAACATCGATTAAAGCCGCTAAACATTTTTACTTAGAATTAACATATTATCCGAAAAATGTTCATAAGAAAAGTATGAGCCACTTGGGGAGTGCTGACAGAAGTGACTACTTCTTATTTAACTTTATATATTATGTGAATTATTTTAACTGAAATTAATCAAAATTTAGTATACCGTATATTTGTACTTGGAGTGAAACATCTATTTATTTTGAGCAGCACATACAAACAATTTAATAAATAATAAAGATCCTGATAACTATAAGATTTTAGATTCTTTAGAATCTTTTTTCCAAGTACCRAGACTAAATTTGGATTAATTTCAGTTAAAATAATTAATATAATAAACATGCGTAAGTATTTTAATCTTTCTGATCTAAAAAGATAAGAAATAAACTCGATCATTAACCTGTAAATTCTACTGTATTATATACTGTTATTGCAGTGGTCAGCAAATCAATGATTTTTTTTAAATATTATATTCGTACATCAATCTTCTAAAATGGTTTTTAATCTTGAACAATTTACTTACGAATCATCTATTAAGCATAAATATATTTTATAATGTATGTAATTAATTATTGATGTAATTAACTTGTTTATTCGTTCAATAGTATTTATAACAAATCTTTGTTTATTTCAGAAAACAATAGATGTTTGTTTATCACAAATATATAAAATTTAAATTTAAATAAAAAATGAACATAATAGTATAATACATATTATGCCATTGATGGTGGAAAATCAAAATATCATAATAATATGAAATCAATTTATTAGTTAATTAGATAAATGTTAAAAATAAATAAATAGAAATTACCTGTATTAGTTTTTGTCTGCTTTTTTCGATTTTAAATCATTGTGTGAATGTTTCTTTTTTGAAAAATAGCAAAAATATTAATCGTTCAATGCAACTCAAATATCACAGGTAAAAATAGTTTGTTGAGAAGCAAATTTAAAGTAAGATTTTTTTTGATTTTTAAATTAACATAACACCCATAAGATGATGTCAATTGACCTAGACCATACATTTCTAAAATAATTTTTATACTAATTTTCAAACATTTTCATAAGTATTTTTTATTTTTATTTCTTATTTAATATTATATTAGTACAACTGATATTTGCTTTCTCTTTGTATCTGCCTCTCAATAGTCTCTTTTCACTCATTGCTCCCCACTCCGCGCTACAGCATCGGCATGTATTTTTTAATTTTTTTATTTTTAATTTTTTTTTTGGTGGGGGGGGAGTTGAGGCTTCGACAACAAAGGACTTAGGTAAGGTTTGGTACTCGTGGATTTTTTTTGCAGAATTTCGAATGGGCACCCGTAGGTTTCTGCAATGCCTGGGTGGGAGGCGGCTGGAAAGAAATCCGCCCATGACCGGTATTCGAACCGACGCCTTAATCCACCCGGCCACTACACCCCCGGTATATATTTATGATGACCACTGATAGGAAATTGTCGTTAGAGTCACGTCGGGTCGCCATCCAGTTTTCATCACGTAGACCACAGAATTCCATGACGCTAAACAAAAGTTTTTATAGTGCAATACGTATACCCTTAGCCCGCTAAAAGAAGTAGACATTTCAAAAGTTGCAAAAAATATTTTAAATATTATAGTCTTTAAGTGTATACAAAAATTTTGTGGTTAAAGGTTACAATCCAAAATGTGCTATTGCCATTTTTATCTTTTTGCAGGAAAGCCATTTTTATGTTTCATTAGGATTATGTACAGTAAAATAATGAATATGTACTTAAATAGTACATGTAAAATTATTCTTAGTTCGATTATAGTCAATGAACTATATTAACAACTACAATGTTTCTACTTTTAAAAATGTCGGAGGGAGGGACATTGACACGTTTAAATAAAAAATTTGACTGCCATAATCTACAAACGGGAAATAGCACCGTTTTGGGACAAAACGACAATAATACATTTTGACATATTCTACAATGGCAATAGTACGTGTTGGAAAAAAGCACATTTTTAAGCCTTTTTTTTTTAAAAAAAAGCTATTTTTCAGTATAAAATATATGTTTAAATCAATTTTCCAAAAATATACCACATTTTTGTTTGTAACCACTCAATATAAAATATGAATTAATAAAATTATTTTATAGTTACAAACAATGCTGATGAATCTGAAACTCAAATACACTCAATTAATGAAACTACAGATTCAAATGATGATATTATGACCAATAATACTAGTGAAATCAAACAAAATGAAATATCTTTAAATGAGTACGATTATTGACTAACTATACATTTATAAAWTAAAAAACTCTGGTACCTAATATAAAATGTATTATTCGTACAGAAAGCGAACAGATTATTTAAGTTGGGATGATCTTTTTATGGCTATAGCATCTTTGACAGCCAAWTTTGGTACAGATGTTGGTGCTTGTATTGTTGACATGGACAAAAAAATCGTAGGCATAGGATATAACGAATTGATTCATGATCCTGGGTTAGATTTTGATTTTCTGAGGATGTGTGGTAAGTAATAATGTTTCTAACTACCTAATAGCGCCTATTCGTGTCATTCTGATAAAATAATACGTTTGGTTCTCATTTTTATTTTCAGAATGTTCTGCCGAAATGAATGCCATTTTAAATAAAAACTCTATAAATGTACAAGACTGTACCATATATGTATCACGCTATCCGTGTAATGAAAGAACAAAAGTTATTATTCAATCGGGTATAAAAGAAGTAGTGTATTTGGAGCCACGTCCAAATCTTGCTTCTAAAAAAATGTTTGATGCTTCCGGTATAAAAATCAGGAATCACACACCAAAACAGACGCGTCTTCATTTTAAAGAACCTAACGAAAAAAAATTAAGCTTCGATGATCTTTATATGACTATAGCATACTTGATAGCTCAACGTAGTAAAGATCCTGTAACTCAAGTCGGTGCTTGTATTGTTGACTCGGACCACAAAATTGTAAGCACAGGGTATAATGGAATGCCTACTGGATGTAACGATGACGACTTTCCATGGGGTAAAAGTGATCCATCGGAATTTAAAAAAAAATTTATGTATGGTATGTAATCGTATTTAGAATTCGTGTCTTTCTGATAAAGTAGTACAGTTAATCTTAATTATATTTTCAGTATGCCACGCTGAAATGAATGCTGTGTTTTATAAAAGTTCTATAAATGTAAAAGGTTGTACCATATATGTATCGGTTTTTCCGTGCGTAAAATGTGCCATAATTATTTTAAAATCTGGTATCAAAAATGTAGTGTATTATTGGGATCCAAAATCTGGTAAAAAAAAAAACATAAAAATTAAAAGTATGTTTAAGTCATATGGTATAATCACCAGATATCACCAGCCAATTCAGAATACCAGACTTGAGATTTCAACAACTGCTTAATACACCAGACAATTCATATTATACACAATTTTATTTAATATATATTTTAAGTGAAGAATGATAAATTTGTGTATAACCAATAATATTTAAAAGTTAAAATTATCTTTGACGATTGTTAGTCACTTATTATTTTCTCTGTTATCATTATAAAATATACCAAAAAATAAAACGACAAAAATATGTGATTTCATTTGTATATTTTATTGTACACAGAGCTAAAATAAATTTCGTTTCGGAGTATGTTATTATATTGGTTAAAAGTTGCCTGGCGTCAGTAACATAGTCAGTTAAAGGGGCCCCCCACCATTGACTGTATTTATTTTAGCTATTTCAACCGTTAATAATATATTTGTTGTATATAATTCACTATATAAATTATAATAAAAAAATATTGAAATGTTATKTAGCTGTAGCTAGCCCTTCTAGAATTGTCAAGAAACTTGAATGGAATAAATCGGCATTTGATGTTTTTGAGAAATACTCAATTTATTACAAGTCCAATATTTAAATAATATGAAAAAATAACTAAGTCCAATTAATTTATTAGTTAAATGGTAATAACGAAATGTGACTTCTAGTGTTGAGTATTCAGCTTCCAGTGGCTATTCGTTGGTAAGTTCGTCTGATGATCGTGTCGTCGACGAGCTCCTCTCGTATAAAGAATCCCTAGTCCCTACTCCAGTAATTTTATCTATTCTACGTAATTACGGCGCGCGTGAATGTCGTGCGTCACACAACAGGATGTCTCTTACGCGGTTATGGATAGTGCAATATTCGTTGAACATAAATCACACAATTCTAGAGCTTGACCTACTTTAAGGATTATTCATATGAGTAGTGATTATGATTATTATTAATATAATTTGCACTACGCCGTTGCGCTCTATCACTATTACTATTATATTACTACCAGAAACTCATAGATAAAGTCACAGCTCGTTACATAGCTAACAAAATTAAATCAAAGAAAACCCGAAGTGTCACTTCACCAAAATATAAAAAGTATGTGCTTCTTATAAATTATAATATTCATTCTTATATTATTACCTATTATGATAAAATGATTAGTTTGTCACACGACCAAGATAAATAAATTTGTGGTACGGCACTTCGTTTATACGAGCCTAACTTATACAATTATACCAATGAGTATCACGTCCTTATCTAATATTAAGTAATATCCATGTTCCTATTATTTTCAAGTAAATTATTATTATTTTAAAATGTACAGTTATGACTTACTTAAAAATATTAATATCAATAAAAACCTTAATGAGATCCTAGATCAGAGTGGTCCAACCTTTTGTAGTTGGCGGACCAATTTACACATTTGTAAACACTTTTGGACCCACAAAAAAAAAATTGATCCGTACTTTATTTTAAAAGAATCATATTATATTATATAATACAATAATAATACGATTATATTATATTATAACAATAATGTAGTACSTATAGATTACTAACGCCACCACATTAACTCCCACGGCCTTATATTTTTTTCGAATTCATCACACTTATAACACCAAAATTATTATTATATAATATGTCTCCTAAGAAGGGCCAAAAAAAAAAATGGTTCCGGGGATCGCGGGTTGAACCACCTTGATCTAGRTAATATAAACTTAACTTTAAATTTTACTATAGATCGATTCACTCCTATATCAAAACTGATACCATTAAGTATACACTTTTGAATTTACGTGTGCAAGGCGGACACAACACATGTGGGGTATGAATTCCTTTTAAGAGAACGAAGATTTCATTTTCATAAAACACAATATAACATACTATTAGCACCATTACGATCGTACCAACATACTTTGTTGTTACTGTTGAACGACCATAGAACGTACGACATAGTAAAGTTTCGTTCACCAATTTCAACAGTGCGTTTTTAGTTTTGACTAGAGGCTGAGACATTATAATGGACTGAAAATGACATGGTCAACGGGGGGTCCGGTGACGGCTACCAAAATGTCCTTCGCACTGGGCACCGAATGTTTTCAGCACTACCGGTCGTTGTATTTGGTGTCGTCAAATCTTGTAGCTTGTAGCTTGTAGTCCATGTTTTATACAGGTGGCTTTGTAAGAGCTCTCGCTACCGATTGTGACCCCCACACTTGTCTCTTGCACATGCATTCGTTGCCACTGATAATTGATATCAAATAAACCGTTTACTATTATTTTTGTCAAAAACGAAACAGTTTCATAAAGACTCCAAAGATTGTAATCATAATAAATAAATAAATAATCATTTTTTGTAAATAATATGCTACATAATCAATTAACAACATGACTTAACAAAAAGTTTAAATAAAGTAAATATTTAATAGACATTTTTAGATTCTGAACGGAGCGATGAATGTATTGATTTT